GGGTGTTGCATCCTCCTTTTAAACCGCAGCAGGAACGTTCGCGAGGTTCCTCGTTTTTTCTTCTTTTTCTCTTTTTAGATACGAATGCGATTAAATGTCTTCTGGTTTACTTTGAATTGTATGTTAAATATATCCTCTTTTCATTTTGTAACTCGTGTGGCATGAGAGATGATTCCTCCAGGAGTCACGGATTTCTTTTTCGCAAGAACGCTTGCATTTAATACGAGTCGCGCGGACATATCGCGGCTCGGTCCGTGCGTACACGATGTGGATGATTTCGGGATCGTTGATCGGATAATTGATCGGACCGTTGAATTGCCCGGTGATAATGTTGCCAATGTTCTAATCAGTCGTTTAAATGGATAATGTTGAACCATTAACCGTAATTAGTGGATAAGCACGCATTATTTGTCAGCCACGTTGATTTAACAGTATTTTTTAATGACACAATCTCTATTTTACACGATATGGAAATAAATCATCAGCTTGTGATAGATAATACGCGAGGAACTTGTATTTTTTCACGATTATTACCTGAGACGTATTTCACGCACGGATTCTGCTATCGATGCATGGCCAAAATACCGGTCGAACAGTGCTAAAAGGGGTTGTTTGTAAATATGTCGGGCTTTCGGAACAATAATACCACGCGAAACGAACGTTCCGTCTGTCGTTGTTATCATTTAGAAGTAGAAATTTATCAGACGGAACGGACAGTTGATTATTAATATTTCATTATCGGAAATCGATGAATTTTGTACGATATATATATAGATATATATATATATCATATATATATTTATATAAGATGAGTCTACCGTGCATCGTGTTTCGTCAAATTTTTGTAGATTCACCTTATATTTTTATAAAGTGCTGACTCGGTGATTCTCGTCATACATGGAAGAGTAACATGCGAGTGCCTCTTGTATAAAACTAAAAAGAGAATGTCGAGGATGGAGTGATCTGTTTAAAAATTATTCATTTCCTAACTTATTTGCTGTCGATATTTGTTGAAAGTGCCTTCGTAGTGGGTTAAGAGTGTTCGTGAAGGAAATTCAAAAAGGGATCTCCATATCATCAGAAATTGCCGAATAAGATAACGGAACTATTCTTAAGATTTTCTACTTGGTAATAGCAGTCACAGGGTTGCATCTAGTCATAGAAATGTACGATGAGAGTAACGGTCATGTATTGAATCTTAAAACGATGGGAGAACCACATTTTTCCTTTTTTTTTCATTTCTTTTTTTACAAAATTTGTTCACTTATCGGTACGATATTTCACGAATATAAATGTTACGAGTATAAAGAATGCTAGATTCAGTATGTTTATTATTAAGGTGAGTTTTCAACAATGCTGTTAGATTTAATTCACTCATTTTAAGTACATGAAATTGTTCTCGAGTGAAACTTTATGGTATTTAAAAATAATTGTTTTTTTCTCCGTTGGAAAGGAACAGAAATTATAAGCATCGCATTAAACGCAATTTTGAATGTAAATTGAGCTTCTTTAAATTTACTCAACACCCATTACACAGTTTTTTTTTTGTATTTTAAGTAATGTTAAAAACAACTTCCAGAACAAAGTGAAGGTAACATGTTAGATAATGAGATATCGAGGTAACCGTTATTGCTGTTTCGGAAACGAACTGCAGAATTACTGAATTAAGTTCGAAATTGTAGAGTTCAAAGGGATAAAGTGAAATGTGAAATTTCTTTGGAAATGCTTTTTATAACAGCTCACACGTCACTTTCAATTATTAATGTAACTCAATTCTCACGCAAACTGTAAACTTCTTTCTTTGGATCCTTCGATTGTTATTTATATTCATGGTTTCATCGTTCGGGCGAGTGAAAATTATTGGAGGTAGGTTTCTCGAAATGTTAGTTGAGATTTTCTACGGATTTTTCCGAATCAGGAGATGTTTTTAAAATGATCATAGTTGATTGTGATACCTTTAGCCGACGGCAATTGTAAACTGAAAAAACGCGGTCTTTCTTTATTCTTCCTCTACCATGAATACTTGGCGATGTCACTTACCAAAAATCATTGATTAAATCAATTAAGGAAACGAGAAACATTTCGCACTATCTAAGCGACTCGGAGTAACGGAGATCCTTAGAAGTAGATAAGCGAATGCAATTATCTTGTATCATGCATTTATCACAGATAAGTTGGACATTGTAAATGCTTCCTGTATCATTTTCAGGTTTTCAACACCGACGTAGTCGAACAAGTTAATGCGTACATAAATCAATCGTTGTTCTGTTTTCCATGCGACGCTGATTGAAACGAAACTGCTCTAAATTAGACGATTTGTCGTAAATTCGATTTTATTCCAAGAAGAGTATACTTCATGAAAACTACAATTTTCCTCGTTAGAATGCAAGTATATAGTTGAACAGTTAAAATTCTGAAAAGAAATTATAAGTTGATTTCCCGTTAAAAAAAAGACGGAAAAATTGTATCGTGCCACGCAACTGCAGCAAAATGACATCATTTATAACTCTGTACAGATACGGTGAAATGTTAATAGAAAAAATAGTTTGCGCGTTACGATTTGGTTATTAAAGAATGTATCATTAATGCAGTCGTGTGCAACTCAAATCATTTATAAGAATACAAAAGAAATCCAGATGGTGGAAACTAGTAAAGAATAAATGAACTCGTGAAGTATACATTCGTGTCGTCGTGAGTATTTGAATAAATATTCTTTGCACGTATACAGTGCAGAAGTAGAAAACGATGCAGTAACAGGTTAATGATGGCGACGATAATTACATTAATAGTCGTGGTGAACAATTAAGTCGCCAAAGATGAACAACAATGCGCATACGATTACTTATGAGCCCTACGATTATGGTGTGTAGCTTGAAAATTTCGACTTTATAACAATTATACAGGAAATACAAGTTTAACGTTTTTAGACGCTCGAATGTTTCACATATCCATAGAAAATCGAAATTCTCAGCTACTTTCTCGACAACTAACAGAATTAAGTGCGCTTTATTTTATATAAACGAGATATAACTGTATAGTATGTGCTGCGAAGGTTTGAATTTCTCTTGGATTTTATAATTTTAATATAAATAAAATTACTTCTAAAAAATGATAATTTTTCAGTTTCATAAGATATTAAGTAACAGTAGTAACAGAACTGTTTAAAATAGATAGTGATTAACAAACCTAATGGGATATATAATGTTTTCCCTTTTAAATTTCTCAGCAGATTTTATGTACTACTCAGTCTAATGCAACGCATTAACGAAAAATAAAAACTTTGTTTGTTAAATATCTTCAAAAGATTTATATTACGGTTTATATTGTTTCGAAATATGACTTAAAAAAATAGAAATACGAATTTCTAATTTACACGAGAAGCAGTATTCCGATTTAATTATTTGTTTGATATAATATTCAAAATGGCGGACGCCAGAACAAATCGATAGTCTGAAAGGTTTTTACAGTTAAAAAATATTTAAAAAAAATGATATGGATGTAAAAGATTATTTATAACTGCTACATTTTGAATTGTTCTCTATAAAATGATTTATTTGTAATCTTGAAAGACTTGAAGTATTTTGTGAATATTTGAAATCCATAATACCCTATCTTTCCAACATTTCAAATAAAATTAGAACGTTATGCATTTTATTTTGTTATAATTATCAAAGAGTATATCACGTATTATAAATACTTTATATCTACAATGAAACGCTTGGTGTTTTAAAATCAAAAGCTAAAACATGTTCATTTCGTGAATTATCAAATAAAATGGTCACGTCAAAATTAAAAATAGGACTTTATTTGTGTGTACATATGTTAATATTTAATAGTATTGCAAGAATTCATATTTCTATTTTAAATTGCATGTTGCTTATTGAACATTCAATACAGCAATGTTGGTAGCAGCTACCGAGTGTAATGTACTGTCATGGCGACGTTACCGCCACGGAAAAATCCAACTCCAACGAAAATTTTAAAACAACACTTGACCCCATTGCAAACACTGTTGCAGTTGGGCTTTCCTAAACACAGAGCGTGAGTACCATAAAATAGATTCGTAAAACAATGTCGCTCTTTCGTTGTTTTGTACGGACCCTGATGAACGTTTACACGGTATGCATTGTAAACAAACAGCTGTCAAACTTTAAGTATTACTACTATTTTCCTTTTTCTATTGTTATGTTACATTCATTTATGTTAATTCATTAAATATTTAGTGTAAAAATTTAAGCTATTCATCCCTTAAATCATTCATTTTTTAAAATTTGTATAAATCAGTATTTCACATGTAATATCATTTCTTGTAGTGTTTGTATTCTCTTTTAAGTAGAAAGATAGTGGAAAAAATAATAATCTTATGTATAATTGCAATACACATTGTTTCAATTATAGAGAAAAAGCGTTAGCTGCTACAGGACATCGAGGTATTCAATTGGCATCTGATTGGCTAGTGGCTCATGTTAGAGATCCAACTTTGGATTCTGATATGCAAAGAGAATATGTTTTGTATGCTTGTCCAACAGGTGCATTAGCCGAACAACTTAAGAGATTTTGGTCAGAAAGCAAAGAGTTAATATGGAATGGAGCACATAATTATATGCCACATATTACGCTTGTATCGTTCTTTAAAGTATGATATAGCATTATCAATGTACAATAATTAAAATTAAGAAATAACAAAAATTTTGTTTATAGGCTGCAGATGAACTGACTGAAGAATTGGTAAATGCTCTTGAAAATATAGTTAATCAGGATGAATTACAGAATCATATCGATTTAGAAACTTATGTCTCTCCGAACTTTATGGGTCTTTTTGTTAAAGAAATAAATGCTGAATGGTTAAAGGATATAGCTCTTCGATATGTGAATAAACTTACAGCTTTGGGTATTTCTGCAGAGCCCCAAGTAAAATCATTGCATCTGACATTAATTTATCAGTTTCCTAGCAACCTGTATCAACAACTTCGTTCGATGGTAGAAAAATTAACATTAACTTCTTCAGCTAATTGGGAACTCAGATTGTATTCTAGAGACTCTAGGCTACAGAATGCTCATGTGCATAAAGTGATGCATGCTTTTGTGCCCAGAGAACACGATGAATTAGAATTAAGAGTGGGAGATTACATTTATATTCCAGAAGGGGCATGTAGTTTATCTACAGACGGTTGGATTGAAGGCATCTCCTGGTTAACTGGTATTTCAGGTCATTTACCTTTAAATCATACAAAACGAACAGCTGAATCAGACTCATGGACGTTGCATACTACTGTACAGCTTACTGATAATAAAAATTCAATCATAGAAAAAGAAGAAATACCTTTAACAAGGAAACCACCAGTATTGTTAACAAATGATTCTACAGATACTCCTGATGGAATACCAAGAACTAATGAACCAGTAAATTACATTATATTTTATGCACTAGATACGTTAAACTTCACTTTTAAGATTCCTTTTTCTGTAGATTGAAGCCTCTGAAGCAATTTCACCCTCTTCAAGGCAAATATTCATATGTCGCCATGGAGAAAGAGTAGATTTTACATTCGGAGCATGGATTCCTTATTGTTTTGAATCAAATGGATCTTATGTTCGGAGGGACTTAAATATGCCAAAGGAAATTCCATCAAGAAATATACAGGACTTTCAAAATGATAGTCCTTTAACAACTGTAGGTGAAGTGCAAGCAGGCTTGGTAGGAGAAGCAATGAAATCTTCTAGTATTAAGATAGATGTAGCTTTTACTTCGCCATCATTGAGATGTATACAAACGTTGGCCCATATTTTAAAAGGATTTGATTCAAATATTCCAATGAAAATAGAGCCAGGTCTGATAGAATGGTTAGCATGGTATCCAAATGGTGTACCAGTTTGGATGACATCTGAAGAATTAATGAAGGCAGGTTTTAACATAGATAAAAGTTATGACCCAGTTATTAAAGCGAAAGAGCTTCCATTGAAAGAGAATGCAGCACAGTATTACGAACGAAGTTATGAATTAATTAAACGAATTATTGAAAGTACAGTAGGGAATATTTTAATAGTAGCTCATGCAGCTTCGTTAGCAGCTTGTACTAGACAATTAACAGGTGGCAGAGTACCATCAGCTGCTGAAGTTACTAGATTAGTTCAAAGAGTACCATATTTAGCGTGCCTAACAGCTCGTGAAGGGTTGGATGGTTGGCAACTTCATCCACCACCATTTCCACCTATTACACATACTAGTAATACTAGATTTGATTGGAAAGTACTGTTGTAAAAATACTAGTATTACTTTAAATTGTGACCCAATAAGTTTTCTGTTTTAATTTATACAAAGTATTTTAAAGGCGGTAACAAGTATTTAAGAAATAACTTTTTGGGTTGGATTATTTATAATCTACAACAAATTCAGAATATTAGATTATTATTCAATGTTTTATAAAATTAGCATTTATAGGGAAATAATACGGGTATTGGCTTTTGATTCCTCCTTTTCTTTAGAAAAGGATATAAAAGTGACGTATATCCCAATCTTTATAAAGATTGTATGAATTCCATATTTCAATATAATGATTAATAGAAAACTATTTTGTCATAGGTTTCATGTTTAATGTTCAAAAAATATTTAGTAAAATAATACATGATATATCTAACTTGTGATGAAAAAATACTATCAATTTTACAGTTTTTAGAACATATTATGAATGACATAATTTTTGCCTAATTATGCTTTAAAATCAAACATAACTACAAATTAAAAATATTTCAACTAACTCATGTCAATTGATTGTGCATTGAGACTTTTGAATCTATATGTATTTTGAAGATCTAAGATCTGTTACAAATGTAGTTGCCAGAAGATTATTTTGCTGTTTGAGAAGATCTATATGCATATAAATTTATAAAAACCACTATATTCTTTACAATACAATCTTCACACATATTCTAGGCATTTGCTAAAGTAGATAGTATGAATACTGTGTGAAAATTTAGAAGTACAAAATCAATGTAGAAAAGACAGTGTTGTTATTTACCAAAGAAACATAAATATATAGAATGTTATAATATTTTATTATGAATGTAGTTGTATCGTAAAGGGACCTACTGCTTTATTTTATGCGATAAAAATTTATTCATGTATAACATACAACATTTGATGATGTATAAAAAACTGTTGTGTATACATCAAAATTTAATAAAAATATGATAAATATAAAAATAAGATAAATTTATCAATACATTGAACAACAGTGTCTAAACATGTCCACCTTCCTTTAGTTTTGTAATTAAACTGTCAACGTCTGGCAATACACTGCCAGCTTGTCTTACTGGTGGTTCTTCAACTGACAAAACATCAATTCTGGCAGCAGTGTCGACACCCAAATCTTTTGGTGTCATCTTTTTTATTGGTTTCTTCTTAGCTTTCATAATGTTTGGTAAAGTAGCATAACGTGGTTCATTAAGACGTAGATCAGCACTCAATACTGCTGGTGTTTTCATTTTAATAACTTCTAAGCCTCCATCAACTTCACGTGTAACTGTCAGCTCGCCATTATTATTCTCAATCTATTACAGAAAAGGTATACATCAAAGTAAGTTATATTATCTTGCAAAACCTTGATATTAGATAATATAATTTCAATTTTTAATTAAGTCAACATACTTTACTGCAAAATGTTCCAGTTGGCCAATCTAAAATACCTCCAATCATTTGTGCAGTCTGATTGCAATCATCATCTATAGCTTGTTTACCAACAATAATGAAATCTACTTTTTCATCTTGAGCTAATTTTGCTAAAATTTTGGAAACATGAATGGGTTGCAGAGTTTCATATTCTGGTCCGGATACCTCAACATGAATCCCTTTATCAGCACCCATTGCAAGAGCAGTTCTTATAGTTTCTTGAGATTGTGGTGGTCCACATGAGACAGCAATTATTTCTTGAACTAATTTTTTTTCTTTCATTCGAACAGCTTCTTCAATTGCAATTTCATCAAAAGGATTCATTGAATGTTTCACCCCATCTGTTACAACGCCCGTTTTATCAGACTTAACACGAATCTAAAATTTAAAAAAAAATAAGGTCAAGATATAGTACAACGAAAGATAAGGGTATATTTATTTAAAACTGCACTCTAAAAAAAATATACTATATAGTTAATGATTTATAGTATCTGTTATAATACCGATTATTTAATATTTTTATACACCACTTAAAACATATCTCAATTTACACAATGCAATTGAACACTTGACATATGTTAATATTGTTCACATATATTTTTCATACAGATTTAATATATTATTAAGATATACCTTAACTGCATAATCGATAACTCTTTTTACACCTACAAGTGCCCGCGCCATTGTGACAGGTCAATACCGTATAACTACAAATTATAATTAACGCTTTTCAAAACATTTATTATGAAGTATCTATAGATCTGCTCCGCCTTTTGTACGTGGTGGGATTAGTTCAATCACAATGGTCTAAAGTTCATTTCTCTCATGATACAAGTAAGCAGTAGGTATGATCATTTCGTGGACATATTTTTATGCAGTTCACGTTGATGTAAGTAAATATCACAATATGGCTGTTTGGGTTCTAAGTTACAATTCAAAACTACAGATGAATTAAATATTTACTTAAGTTATTCAAAAAATAACGCAGTAAACATTAAAGTTCAAATTTTTGGGCTAACATGACGTCAGATTTGGGTTACACCTGATTGGCTTATTTATATAAACATGGGTATGAAATCTGTCTGTGGGTGATAACTCCTTACATGGATCTTGATCTATTTATGTCAGATAAAAAATGCAATTGTAATTGTATAAACATACACTTACATATATAAGAGTAAACATAATCTTACGTAATTATATTTAAGAGCAATTTACAATGCTGCTTCTTATCGTGTCCATTTGCTACAGTAAACACATCTTAAGGCCATTTTCAAGATCGCAGCATAAAATGGCGCGTAAGCAATAAACGTGTATTGAAGAAAAGAATTAAGAAAGACATCACGTGTTTCATTGCCATTAGTTTGATTTTTTCCTTTAAACAGGGGCAAGAAAAATATATATTTAACGTTTACTTTTTAAAAAATACCTACTCTTCGTATAATTACGAATTAATTAGAATTATATAATAAATTATTTAATAAAAAATTATGTAATAAGTCACTTGTTACAGGTATCCTTCCGTAAGTCTTATTAGAACAATAATGCATGAATGATTATAAATATGAAAATAATGTATCAGTATCTGTGGTTAGCATAAAGTTATTTAACCTATATTATTGTAAAATTAGAAAAAATTAAAATATAATGCGTAATAATTTTACATAACATGAAAGTTGTTTAAAAGAATTATATTATTTAGATCATTTACTTCCATTCCAATGACATATTTGTAGTTACTACAGTATTCATTAATACAAGATTGAAGTTTAAATAAATCTCGATCGCATTATAATTAGTGTATAAGGCATATACTTTATCAATTTTAATATCTTTGTTAAAAGATTTCAATGAGTAACGTAATTTTTATAAAAAAAATTCTAAGTAAATATTAAACCAAGAAAAGTAAAAATATACAAACCTACAGACATTCTCGCATATAATTCTTATATTCTAATAGAACGTATCACAAAAGAGATTTCGAGCGATTGCTTTGGAACCAATCAGAATGCATATAGAATCAAGTTTGCGCCACACATGGCGTCCAAGAACCGACGCCATCTAACGTCTGGCATTCCTGTTTTTTTCGTGCGGGTAAAATCACGGCTTTCTATAGCGCGCAAGCCTTTATCGTTTTGTTTTGTAGAATTCGGTAAGTTAAGTGAATATCTTTGGTAAATTGACTATGCTGTGCGTATATTGAATGAAATGTTAGCTGAGAAAAAGCGTTCACGCGTCAAGGAAGTGTGTGGGAAAATGAGTTAACCGTGTGTTAACGCGCAGTGGTCAACAATCCGTGGAAGTTTAGTAAGGGAATATATATCCGTATTCAGGACTTGATAACGTCGAGGTAATTATACGTTGGTATTTATCATCGAATATATTCCGTGAACTATCCGCGTGTTACTGAAATTTAAAATCATCAAGAGTTTCCTTCGTGTTTATGTTTACTCCTCTAATTACCCCCTCCCTCCGCAGCTACCCTCTGTGCACCAACTTTTCCTCATACTCTTCCTCGTTTTTTCATACAGATGCAATGTTTTCTTTCCATGTTTTTATTATTTACGTCACCCTCGATATATTTTTTTCATTTACTTTAATGTATTTGTCTGTAGCTACATTGATTTGAATGATCAAATCATAGCAAGACGTAATTTCCCTATCACTAAGATAGCTCCAATAATTTATTGATTCCTATTAATCTTTCATGTATTAACAAATACTGATACCGTAGCATGATACAGAAGTTACTTGATACTTATTTTATTTATTACACAAGAGATATTTCTGTGTATTTACATGTATTGTGTATACGCGCAATACAATTTCATTTTATGGTTAATGACTTTTTATAAGTATTTAGAGAGACGTGTTTAATCAGTGCAAAATGAGTGCATCGGCCTTAAAATCAACGATACCTGGAGTAGGTACATCTCCAACTTCTACCAGTCATTCTATTCTTCCAATGAATGCAATGGCGCAAAAGGTTGTATCAGGCTCGGAGCCAGGAGCTATGAAACCTCTACCGGGAACTGGGTTGAGCTATGTCACACTGCAACCGCCCAGTCAACCGTTGAGTTTAGTACAAGATCATAGACCATCTGTATATCAGACACCGCCGTATGTAAGCGGTAATTCTGAAAAAGAATCGGACTTAGACAAATTAATCCCGAACGGAGTGGAAATTATAAAAACTGAAACTGAACAGACTATATCTGTTGCTATCAAACAAAGCGAATCGAATAGAAATAATAATTTAAGTCCAGATAATCCTACACAAGATTCACAGAGAGAAATTCAAACAGAGCAAGAGATGACTTCGATTGGTTTAGATTTTCCTGGTTAGTAAAACCATAATAAATACAATTAATTTATGTATTTAACTAATTTTATATTTATAGAATTTGTATGTGTTTTATTTTATTTGTTTCATTTGTGTTTAATGCTTTGCATTTGTTTATCTTATAAATAAATGTAAGATAGATGTTATATTCATATCTTTTAAGATAATATTTTTAAATCACTGATAGTTACAAAAATCATTGAATCAAAAAATGCATGTGAAGTACCCGACCCAGACCCTGAATGCATTTTCGCATCTATATCTGTACGTACATATATATTACTTTAGCATTATGTCCACAACTACAAACCAAGGTTGAAGAAAAGAAAACGCCTGTAAATAATGGTTCAAAAGAGTCTGACGGAATGCCAGTCAGTGCGCCTGTAAAAAAGGAAGTAACCACACATAAACCAGAAGATGCGCCAGCAAAACCTGATAATCAGAAGATAAAAGCTACAACTCAGAGTATAAAAGTAGCGGTAGATAATTCTCCAACGTTGCAAGCAAGTAATCCACCAAAGGTAGAAACGAAAGTGACTGCTTCACCGAAAGCTAATAAAAGAAAATCTAGAGAATTGAAAGATTTGAAAGGGTTACAAGCAACATCAGATGGAGCAAGCAAGCCAAAAAGAAATAGAATTCAAACACAGCCTTATCAGAGTCCATTGCCAGAAATTGCATTAATTGTTAAGAATTTGAACAAGCCTCCGCCATCAAAAGCATCTGATGACAAACTTATAGTATTTTACAAGTAAGTAAAATTTACATATTTTTAATAAAATATGTAACTGACATTTTTATATAAACATACATAAGAAATACATTGTAAAATACAGTTTTTAATTATGTTAATTTTCACGTGAATATAAAAAAATGATTAATGTTTATTAAGTACTATGTATTCATTAGTTCTGACTAATATGTGTTATTAGAAATGAATTTTTGGCTGTGAGAAATGCAGAAGGAAGCTTTTACGTATGTCAAGCAATGCAAAATATATATAAGTCGAGCAGACGAATTCGTATACGTTGGCTTTCTCAAGACAAAAATAATGGAGAAATATATTCACCTGACTTTTATGATTTTATAGGTAATTTTGTATAGAATTTTAACTTGTTTTGATCTTATAGTACTATGTAAATTTCATTATACAAAAGATGGCTCCAAATATACTATATTGAGTCCTTTTTTTATAATTTCAGACTTCGATTGTATATTAACAAATTTAAATTTGAACAAAGTTGATAAAAATAAATATCAACTAACCAAGATAGAATTGTTGCGTACAGAGAATATTTTAAAAAGAGCAATTGATGTTGAAGCTGGAGTATCTGAAAAGCCTCGAGTAACAGAAGAACATCCGGATGGACGTTAGTATATTTTTTATGTGAAAAAAAATTGACTATCAACTCTGAATGTACTTAATTATTGCCAATATGAAATAAAGTAACATTAACATAATTGTCATTTATCATGAAATTGAAACTCTAATATCTTATCCACAGTTGACCTTTCACTTTACAAAGATGAATCACAATTAAAAAGAAGAAAAAATCATAACTTACACAAACAGAAGCAAAGTTTGCGTAAAAAATCGAAACGAACTGATAGCTCTTCTGAGAATGAAGCACCTGAAGAGGAATCAGGGAAAAAATCTCCTAAATCGAACCGCTCTAAAAAACGAACAGTTAACAAAGCCTTGGCAATTGCTAAGTCTGTAGTAAAGGGTTCGAGTAGAGCAGAAAGAGCGCTAAATAGAAATACAAAATCTGGGAATGAAAGTGCTGCTACTTCTACCACTGCACCTGCTAATGCCAGCGTAACCACCAGTACTACGGTTACCAATACCGTTCCATCCGTGGATGGAGCAAAAAATAATACTGACGTTAAAAAGAGTGAAATTAAAAAAAGCACAAAACAGCAAAGTAACAATAACACAAGTTCGGTTTCAAGGACAAAACAACGTGGTAATAATCTTTATTGTTTACTTCATTTAAAATGACAATTTTGTAAACTTTTGTATTTTTACATGTAAAGTCTATCCTTTACGTGTACTGTAATTTAATTTGCAGCAACTGCACAAAACACGCAACAGAGTAACAAAGCAGCAGCAGGACGTCCGAAACGTATGGCTGCCACCACAGGTATTCTGTCGAGTGAAGAGTCTCCTTCTCGAAAAAAGCCACGTGGTCGAACATAAGATTAACATAATTTACATGTTTTTCCTGTGTTACACCTAGAACAGAGTCTGTACCGTAGGCAATATGTACACGTAGTACACTCTTTAAAATTGCGATCAATTTGTAATGTAATATATATGATCTCAAGATTCTTATATCTATCAGGTGCTGCATTATATTATAGTCCAACAATGTGGGATCAACAATTTATATAACTGTGCGGCAAATCGCATTTAACGGAAAAAAAGACTCAGAGACTTATAAGAGTGATATTGTGATATCATACAAAATTTGTACATATCGTCTACGTTTCAGATTCCCTACAGGAGAAGAAAGTCACGGAATGTATGAAGAGAACGGTACCTTGGTTGAGTAATAACTATCTACAGGGTGTCACATGCTAATGCACTCTTGCAATAGTCTATTTTTGATGTTGTGAATGAACTGTACGTGATTCAGTTGAGTTTAAATGTACACTTTCCATTGGATATGATAGCTATGTACAAATATATATGTCTGGGGCTTACGCGTACTCTATGAAAAGATTAAAACAGAAAAGAGAGTACCAGAGGATAAGAACAATCCGTGAATTATCGATCTCCAAGTTATGGATCGGTAGATTTAGAAGTACAATATCTGTACATTACGCTGAATCTTTGCTATTTAAAAAATAGCACACAGAATGGTCCAGCGCCTATATTAAAGACAGGCAGAGAAAAAAAGTGCCCTCAACTGTAAATCCTTGTCCTGTTATTGAATCTTTGGATTCATAAAAAGAAAAATCTTATGGCTAAAAAAGATATAAGGTTAATTATAGTTTATTTTCGAATCATTTGTATCAATGAATCGTTAACATGATTCATTGTTACGAAAAGAAAGTCGAGTGAATCATCTTGATTAATTATGGTGGTGTCAGACTATAATTTAGCCACATAAACATATTATATTCCTTTCTTTAAAAAAGATAACAGCACTTATTTACTCTGATAAGTCTGGATTAAAAATGTATAAACATGCTTTATCTATATATTATTTTATTTTTCAAAGATTATGGACAAAGTGTATATTTACCGAGAGATAGATGATTATGATTTACATTTCACCAAATCTAAATTCTTATAGTTTAACATAGTTTATAGTTTATATTGTGTCGAAATGTATTATTGGGTATACAAATTTGTGTCAGTAATTAAGAAAGGGGATTTATTGTAATGTCATTTTATTGCATTGTACATTGAGCGAAGGTATATCGAGACATGTATTTCTTTTTCTACGTTACAGCGATAGAGTGAAATACCTTATAATCTATATTAAATAAAATCTAAGAAATAAAATGTCTTTGGTTTTCAATGAAACCAAAGACAGTTTGTATCGCTTTAAGTTACATGCTTTTTATAATTGAAAATTCTGTCTCCGGAGATGTGTGCACTTACCTTTATGCATCGGCCGTTGAACATGCACAAACTTAATGAGAAAATAGTTTCTCACCTACATGATTTTATCTACGTATGTACATAATAAAGATTAGGTAATCGAAATTGTGAAAATGAATACAAAAATTTATGAGCGTTTGGAATCTTGAAGGCTAATGTATCTTATTCATTTGATAGAACGTCTCACTTATTGCGTTGCAACGAACAATTGCAAAACTTCGTCTTTTGTTTCAACAGTCACTGAACCGATGTACGATGTACATATATTTCATAAGCTTACAACATAATAACAACAGAGGGATGCCGTTTAAATGAGTAGGCATATCGACTTCTATTGAAAATAGGATAATTATTACATTAAATGGTTACAAATGGATTTAATTCATGAGATAGGAGATGAATAAGATACCAATCCTGTCATTGGTTCATGGAATATTGTATTTAAATATACACATACATAATGTATAAATTTAAAATATAACACAAACGTAATGTATAAATTTAGTAAAAGAAAAATTCTAATGACGAAGACCGAAGAAATTTGCTTATATTGTTATTGAATTTTTGCTTTCAAAGCAACATCACGTTTATCTTTTTCTTTCCTTGGGGAATTAGTTGTATAATATCAAAGTAATTCAGTGGACGGTGCAAATAATAATTAATATCGTCATTAGCGTCAATGGAAGACATGTAACATATAAATAAATTTCCAAGTCAATCTGCACTTTATTATTTCGAGAGGCGATAAATTTCACAACGCGTATAAATACAGCTCTCGATATTCTTCTCGTGAGCCACTTCTATGTCTAAGACAAAATAGTATGAAGGAAACTGAATCGAAAAGCAACGATGCATTTGCGTGCGGGCTGATATTTGTTGAGAATACTTGAATCTATGTTAAATTCCATAGATTGAAATTTCAATGTATATACTATTGATCGATCATTCTACAAAAAATCATCTGTCGCTTTATACACGATAAAATTGGAAATCATGTTAATTGCTTGTTGCGACAA